TGCTTGATCTGGGTCACGTATTGGTTAGTTGAAGCGTCTTTTGAGACCGGAAGAGCCAATGCTTTAGGCCTAAAGGAAGCTTGAAGGGATGGAGAGACGAAGAGGAAGACAAGCAATGCTGTAAATAGAAGGAATTTACTAGAGACAGCCATTGTATTTGGGTGGAGATATTTAGAGTTTGGATGGTGTGGAGAGCCAGTGAAAGCAAAGGTCTATCTTATAGCCGCAGCCGATGTCATTAATGGCAACTTGGGAAATCTAGCTAGTTCTATGAAAGGTGGCGATTTGCAAAATTTTGATTTTTGACTCTCTGCTTTTATCAAATGTATGAACATTCAAACCCTGAATATCAGTGTTTTAATATGCAACAGTATACGTTGCACATTAAAGATATTCAACTTCATATCTGTAATTGCAAAAAAATGAAGCAAAATAAAGAAAAAGATAAGGAGTGACCATTGAGTTTCAAATATTGCAAAATCCATAGAATTCTCATTAAACCAATGGCATACATCTATACAAGATTAAACTTTATTCCACTTTTCTTCCCTTTGAAAATGAGAAAGTATTCTTCAGAAATTTGATACAGGAAAGCCACCACACCACTCTGTTTTATGGGTAATTGAGCATTTGCAAGGTTTTCATCAAGATTGATACAAGCCAAGTACAACTGTAACCAATGGTTTCCTAATTATTGCTTATCCTTTTCGATGGGCAATAATGCAGTAGTAGACAAAATAATTTTGATAAAATATGTTATATTACTAAATAAGAGCAAATGCGCCTGACAATTGAGTCAAATTAATCAATACTTCTTTGTTAAGAAACAAACATCTCAATAATACATCAGATTATCAAAATTAATCTATATTATTCAATATAAAGCTATGTACTCAAAATGCCACATTGAGTTGGATTAGAAATGTCAATGGATAGTATACTTGTTATTTCTTAGATACCTAAATCCTATTGTTTAAAGGTACCTAAATCTTATAATACCTTATTAAGTTTGTCTAATTGTTTCTCAAACTCGTATTTGGATATTCTAGATACTACTCATAAAATACCTTATTACAATAAATTTCAAATCAATTTTTATAATAAAAATTAAATTAATAAATTAAATTTAATTCATAAAAATAAATTAAAGTCTAAAATCATAATTAGAACAATTAATAAATTTTAATGAGTATTAAGTTAGTTTTAAAAAATTTATAATAAAAATATTATATTTAAAACTAAAATTTAATATTAAAAATCATTACTTATAATAAATTAGAGTAATAAATATCCTAAAATTACTATTTTAACCCGTGATGTATAATAGTTTTACTATTCATATATGATTATAAGTTATCTTAATCTTATTTAATCATATCAAATAATGCAGGATATCTTATTAAAGTATACCCATTAACATCCCTAAGTTTTACAGATACGCTTGGTCAAAATGGCCATCTAACCCACTGATAGGGGTGGGGAGGCTTACTGCAAGCTTGGGGAATAATTCCAGTCCAGGTCCTCCTAGCAACAAAACTACATGTGTCAAATTCATTTAAGGGAAAACAAAAGGTTTAATGGGTTTTAATGAACTATTCAAATCACTGATTTATAACTTAAAAATGAAATAACTTTACATAATTTACTATATACTTTATTAAAAAAACAAAGGAAAAGTGCTGCCGACAGCATAATTAGATTCTGGACTAATGTTTCACTTTATTTTATAAACTAATACATCAATGATTAATAATCCTCGTGTTAAAACCAGACTTTCAAAGCGATTTGGATAAAATTAACAGCTTACAAGCTGCTTTGGTGTTATAAATAAACACATTGGTACTAATTAATACTACGAGAAAAAGTAAGGAAAGAAGAACAAATTCTTAATAATTTAGCTCTGTGGGCAAGTTGATAAACCTTTTTATGCTTTTGGTTGCACCCCTTTAATTTTTGCTAAACAAATTTAGTACACAGTCCACCACTCATCCATTATAGACATATGCTAAATAGGAAAGTTCAAAGATGTTGCCCAAAATAGAGCATAAGTCGTTATTGTTATTATTATAAGAACTCCACTTCTTATGTTTCTTTATTTTAATCTTGACCCGAAAACAAAAATTATTTCTTCATTTTAAATAGTATAGTAGTAATAATTAAAGAGAGGACAACCGCACAAGTTTGGTTGGTACAACCGCACAAGTTTGGTTGGTGCAACCTGGCCTAGGAAAACAAATTTAGGGCTTCTTCCATAAAAAATTCTCTTTGCATTCTCATCATGCTTGAGGGGCACAATAACCATGCATTAATTAGGGATTATTTTTTAAACAAATTATGAGAAAGTTAAAAATTAAATATATGTGAAATTATACTATACTATACTATAATATAATATAATAGGATAATGGTGTATAACTTTTTTAATGAACAAAAAATTAATTTCAAACATTATATATGATTTATGTTTGATATAGAAAGATTTGAATTAAAAGATCAAAGTTTCAATGTAAAAAAATAAATAAATTGAAGTCTGACTACTAACTAAAAGAGGCCTAAAATTACCTTTTAACAAAAGTTAAATGTGATATTAATTTTTTTTTGTAAAAATTAATGATTTAAGTTTCTATATATAATTTTTTTTCTATTATTAGCTTAGAAAGAAATCCAGTTGACACAATAGTTAATATTAGTTTGTTAATTTGATTGATTGGGAAAAAAAAACCTAATTTAAGGAACTAAAAGATCACATGTAATTGTGCTTAAAAAATTATAGATGAATTAAGTGAGTAATGAAGTTTAAAGTAATATTGCCACCAAAATATAATTAATTATCAGTAAGGGAAGATAATTAAGGTATTAAACCCTGACTATAAAAAAGCTTAGTAGTAGTAAGCATTGACCCTGACTTAGATTCGCACGTGCTATATAAAAAAGGGTTTTATTTTCAATCAAGCAATGGAGATTATGCTCGGAAAGGAGTAAAAAACTAGCAAGCAAAAGATCAAAAAGATAGAGCAAGTGCTACGTCCATCGAGATGGATGATATGGATCCAACTAATACAAGCCGAGCTCCCAAATATTGAAAAGACAAAAGTCTCCCAAGCAATAGTACAAATATATATATATATATATATATATATATATATATATATATTTGGTTTCCTTAATAGACATTTCTCCAAGTTATTTCAAAGCTTGCCAACCAGAATAATTGGCCGGATCTCCACATGCTTCCAAGATTGTGAGCATCAAACTAGCATATACCCACAAATTCTTCTTACTTATCAAGTGGGTAGCACCAATTTGAACTTATCAAATCATTTATTTTATATAAAGCAGACAAAGCCATTGAAACTAGTAACATGCTTAGTATTTGCTAAGTCTAGACCTAAACCTTTACGTATTCGATGATTGATACAGGAAACAAAAGTGAGATGCGTAGAATAAAAGATGTCAAGAATGGCAGCCTTTTTGGATAAGCGCTAGCAAAGCTTTTTGGGAAGATAAGAGGTTGTCTTTGGAATATCGTAAATTAGGCTTTGTCATCGTTTATCTGGATAACATCCATTTTTAGCCTGGATTTAATCTACAATGATCCAGTACATATTTTTGCACTTAAATTTAATATCCAATACATCCAAGATTTAATCATTTTAGACATACATATATTGCTTTTCTTATTCAAGTATGTAACAGGTAAGAAGTTGAACAAAACTGTTAATATTCAAAGTTAAGAGTACTATCTTCTCATTAATACTATTCATGCTCTACAACGCTTGCCTTTACAAAATCAAAAAACAAACAGAGGAAGCGGAAGATAATAGAATCAGATACATTGCTTCAGCTTGGAATCTTGGATGATGGTAGAACAAGTTGTTTCCTTCAACAGCAAAGAGGAGCTAAACCCTAGCATGGAACTCCCAACATCAAACTCCAAAAGATTATCCTCCAATTGAAGCCCTCCTATAACAATCGAGCTACTCTGTTCCAAGCCCCCATCCAAGAACCCCAAGCACATCACTTGGTTGCTCACTTTCACCATTGAATTCCTCCCCTGAATTCTCCACTTCACCATCTCACTTTGCAAAACTAGATCAATTTCAGGCACCAAAGGGCCAAGAATTGTGTTTTCTACCCCTTTAGAACTAAAGCACAACTCAAATGGAGCCACGGCTGCCACCCTTGTCATATTCATGGATTCAGCAGCCTTGCCATAAGCTTTGGAAAATATAGCATAAATGGAGCTCTTCATTGTGGTGTATGGCACGATTGTGCTTAATTTTGTCCCTAATTTGCCTTCTTCATCCCCTAATAACATCGATTTATCAACGGCTAATCTCTTCCCATTGATCTTGATGGATTGGACGTTGATGAAGTAATCATGTTGCTTGGTAATCAGGGGTGCATATACTAGCGACCTTGTTATTTTGGTGCCGAAAAGGGGGTGCCCATTGCCGGTTAATACGACACCGTCAGATGATGATAAGCAAAGAAAAATCTTTTGAGGGTGCCCAATTGAAGAACTGAGTTGTGACGGCAGTGAAATTGAAGCTTTCCCTAGGCCTAACGTTCCCTTCGAACCACTGGCCAAGCCTTGTAAAAGAAAGGTTGGTGCACAAGAAAAGAGAAAGGTATCAACAGTTTGGATTTGGCCTACCTCTAACCGGCCAACAGAATCAACGGCTATGATATCCTCCACTAGTTCCCCCTTCGCGGTCAATCCGGTTATGCCATTGTACAGAAACACGTTACAGTTGGTGTTAAAGAGGCAACCGCCCGTACTCTTACTTCCATGGTCATGGAATTTTGCTTTCGAGCAGTTGACAGAGCAGCTTGAGATCAACCTGTTTGACAACGACACGTGTCCCGCATCGCAATCCATCCAAAGAAACGGACCGCCAAGATCAACAACAAGGTTGTTGGGTCTCGACGGAGTGCCATGAGAAATCCTAGCAACATACTGGAGAGTCGCTGCATCTTTTATAACAGGAAAGAAAACGGAATTCGAGTGAAAACCCAGAACAGGGAATGTGTTTCCCAGGGAGGAAAGGAAAGAAAAGAAGAGAAGAAGGTGAAACGGAGAAGCCATGGGAAGCCAGGGAATGAAGCTGTGAAAAAGGGGACAAAAGAATGGGGTAGTAATCCATTAGTTATTTATAGACTTGTGATGCGACGGGTCGCCGCGGCTGGGCGAGAATTGTCCCAAGGGAAGGAAGTGAAAGGATAAGATTTGTTTTAGGTTTTTTTGCTGACTAGACTAGTGTGCCGTTTATGTGGTGAAGGGTCCCATAAAGTTTATCTTATTGAAATGCCACGCCATGTGACTGTGACTGCGTCTGCATCCTTTTTTCAATTTTTTTTTTTAACGTAACCAGGAGTAGTTTGTGGACAGCACAGCAGTGAAGAAATATCTGTTTGGGTACACTTCTCGGAAAGTTCCCATCAATATAAAAAAGAGGCTAAAACCCACGTGTTCCAAGTGTGTGTGGTTCTTTTGTTTGATTTATTCTTCTTCTTTTTTTCATCTTTTTACTTTGACTCTGAGGAGAGGTAAATTTACCTCTTTTGAGAAGCGTGCTGCTTTTGAGCGGGTCCAGCCCTCCAGCTCCCAATTGTTTTTGAGCTGAAAAGATGCATCAAATGGAACCACTGATGCCATTCTAGTTCTAGTGATGCTCATTGCTGTGGAATTGTTCAGAAATTCCTTTTACTAGAGCCTTGGAAATTTCACTATGGAACCAAATATTCGTCACAAGGATCAGCTTCTATATAAACTGGGTGGGAGCTGTTCTTACAGGGTTGATGATAAGTTGAGTGTTCAGAGCAATTTTGACAAAATCTTTAGTGTAAAAGATGAGACAAATAGTATTCGCGAAAAGATCATACTATCTTTTCATCAGAAACAAGCATCCTGTCCTATTATAATTCCTAGAGGGAAAAAATCTGCCTTCTTTGCCAACTTAAACATGATTGGCTTGGCGGAAAACAGAAAACAGAATGACAAACAATTCGACCTTCTCAACTCTGTGTCTCTCTCAATTGACATCTACAAGTCCTCTGAAGAAGAAAACCAATACTTTGGGAAATTTTAGCATCTACTTTTAGGCACGGGCTGAAAGAGTGGCATCAAATTTAAGTAATTATAGTATGGATATATGAGGCTCAACTAACACCATAGATATCTATGGCTTTATTAGTTAACTTCTAACTTGGTCCTTCACACATTTGCTTCGCTTTCTGATTTGATACATAATGAAAACTGCTATTTCATATATAAAGAAGCAGCAAAATTTTCACATTGTTCATTGAAACTGAAGAATTCAATGAAGAGATATAAACTCCTTTTCCATATAAGTGATGATGCATACATAATACACCCATTAGCCATTGAGAAAGGGGAAAGAAGCTAATTACAAGAAGCACCTTCAATTTTAAACGAGGGCCCATAAGCCTGCTAGGGACGAAAGCTAGCTAGACGCACGCTCTCTAATCGAGCTTGCCAATTTAGTCATGGAATTCATGATAGGCAGGCGACTAAGTACGTTCCAAGGCCACAGTTGGACTCATATTTTCCCCACAGCCAGATAAGTCTAGGGACCAGGGGGTTGGGACTTGGGAGATGTTAAAAGTAACTTAAAAACATTCTCATGAATGATTTATCATACCTTAATTTAATTAATAACGTCATTTGTCTCAATTTAAGTGATTTTAAATTTAAACTTTATTTATGATCTCCATGTTACCTTATAAAAAAATAATTTTCAACGTGTAAGTTGATATAATCTATTTATGCTGAAATTATTGTAACCATATCATAAAATGAAAATCATTCTTATCTCTAATTTTATATTGAAAAATATTAATGAGTGGTAATGAACACAAGTTAGCTGCTATTTATAAAAATTGCATTTACTATATTGTCTATGAATAATATGGTGTCTTTGATAAATAATGTCTTAATTAGTGCTCTTTTAATTCAACTATCCTTCTCCTTATATAGAAAACTTTTAACTATCCCAGATGGATAGATCGATTCTCAATGGACAAAGTTGGGAATTAATATAATTAGTCAATGAATGAATCAATACATCTACTAAAACTTTGAAGTCTAACGCCCCGTTTTAGGAGACCCGAGCGATCATCAGTGGATTCTGTTTCTCTAATGATAATGACGAGGTTATTTTCTCCAATCATCATCCTTTTTTCTTACGTTTCCCCCTGAATTCCCGGTGGATTCACAGATTCACAGCTCAACAGGTAAATTATTTTGCTTGCTTTTAATAAAGATTTTAATTTTTATGCGACGCATTTGATCTTGGTAACACGTTGGTTTTTGAGTTTTTTTATTGTGGAAACATGAAACCGCCCAGAGGGTTGTTTTGCAAGTTGAGGTAGATTTTGATGATTTTAAAGATGTTGGTTTTGATTTTTGTTGAAATTCTGACGATGAATTTGGTTTCTTGAACTACCCATTTCTCTGTTTCAATGGAAAGTTACTTTTTTTGCATGTAATATGATCCGCTTTTGATGGTGTTTTCTGTTTTCTTGGAGAAAGAAGGATGATAAACTGAATGTTCAATGAATTTTAATTAATCTAGTACTGAAAAAAGAATGAACCCCAGATTCTGAAATTCGGCATTTCATAGATATCTTAGTTCTTCAGTTGACTCAGTCTGTTATTCTGAATATCTGAAAAATCAATTCTGAATGGTGGTTTCTTTTTCTTTTAATCCGTTTGATTAACTAAATTCTTGCCCAAAATCATTTCTTGAATAATCTCAGAAAGTTTCTGAAATTGCTATGGCTATGACATGTTAGTGCAGTTTTATTTGCTGTGTATCTTTGAGTATTTTCTCTCCACTGTTTCTTGAAGTCTGACGAGGATGCCCGCTTTAGTTAAGGTTAGCGAAACGAGCAATTCATGACAGTTTATGCCTGTTTTGAAGGGGAAAAAGATCAAGAAGGGTTTATCCATTTTTGCAATGGATCAGATTGATGATTCCATGCGGAACCAAATAGCAGCACTTTTGCGAGTTGCAAATTTCACAAGATGCTTTAAAGAAGACAATGTTCCATGTAAAATAGAAGAGGTAATAGACATGGTACCTTTTCGACTCTGTTGTTTTGTTTATTCACCTGATTTTTTTTCTGACGCTTTTTGTTGTTTTGATTTCAATTTCTCAGGGTCTCTTTTTGGGTTCTGTTGCGGCTGCTTATAATATGGATGCACTTAAAAGTTTAAATATCACACACATCTTAACCGTGGCTAGTTCTGTGAAACCTGCACATAGCAATGATTTTGTGTACAAAATTATACCAGGTAGGAAAGTTTGTCTTTAATCAAGTGATATAGTTTGAACAAACTTACTATAAAACTTTTTGGACTTTTCATGCTGTGATTCGTTTATTTTTCTGTTGTTCTTTGAATGGTATGCATTTGTTCAGTTGACTTATTCTATCTAAGCCATTGGTTTGTCTTACCTAACTGATAGTTTATCTTTGCAGGAATGTAGTGCTAAAATGAGTTTCTAACTAACATTATAACACATTGTCCTTAACTTATAATTGTATGCTAATGTCTGCATATTAAGCTGTCTGAGCTTTATGCTCAGGCATCCCCTGATTGCCTTAATGTTGTATTAATTCCATATAGCTTCTTCTTCTTCTTTTTGTGTGTGTGTGTGTGTGTGTGTGCTTCCTCATACTTTGGCAATAGATTTCTTCCGTCCACAGAACAAGTTTTTTAATACCTTAATCTAATGTGTATCCTGATGCAAAGACTTTTCTTGCTTATTAATGCTATATACTTATTGCACATCCTGAATTGGCATTTAGCAATAATTCTTATGATCTTTTGTGCTAATTTAACAGTTTTGGACAAAGAAGACACAAATTTAAGTCAGTACTTTGATGAATGTTTTGATTTCATTGATGAAGCAAAAAGACAGGGTGGTGGCGTATTGGTTCACTGCTTTGTTGGAAAATCAAGAAGGTAATGTTTCTAGTGATCTGTTCTTCTTTCCGACATGATTGTTCCTACAGATATTTTATATCAACAGGTGTTTAACATGTTTGATTCGTGTTCAATATCCACGCTTCAATGTTGTGCTGCCATGCTTATGTTTTTCTCTGTGATTCAACTAGCTAATGGGCAATATTCTGAAGTTTTTATTGCTGGAATCTCAGATTGAGCCCAAAGAAAAAAGTATGAAATCTGCTGCTCTCTGGGTTTAAAACTATGCAACTCAAATGTTTCAAATAAATTATGCTTCAAAAATTAGGTGCAAGCCTTAGGTTAATTGCCTTAGTTACTGCTGAGTGGTTTTGATTCTGAAAGCTCAATTACTGAAGTTTATGTGTGTACTTTAACAAAACAAGGTCACAGGCTTGAGCCTTCATTCTTTTCTTCTGTTTCCAAAATTTATTGGACAATGGTATGTTTGGTAGCTCAACACATCTATTTAAAGCAGAAAAGAACCTAACAGTCACTTGTGGAAGTTTGATTGAAACCCTTACTTTCAGATCTCAGATTTAAATCATGAACAAAGGATTTTGTTAATTGTAACTGCATGCAATTTGTATAAAGCGGAACGTACGAATAAATATTTTAAAGCATGGTTACTTTGCTTGTGTTGTTGCTGTTGGCATTGTTTGAAGCAAATGTTAAGAGAAGATGTAAAGGTGAAATAGAAGTAATGTAGTTAACTGAATTGGGAAATAAAGTTAAAATATCCAGGGGATGTCATAAATTATATAAGTGTGAAGTCCAGTAATCAAGGAATAGTTTCCAAGTGGTTTGTTATAAGGATCAGCAACTTGTATGCATCTTGTTAAATATAATTTATTTTTCTCTCTTTCTCATGCTTGAAAACACATTTTAAAAAAATATTCTTCAAACTGCACTTTCCTGCTTAAAGATAATGTCTATTCTTATTTTTTTCCAGATAAAGTCATATCATGTGTTCAAATATTTATGTCATGCAGTGTGACCATTGTTGTTTCCTATCTAATGAAAAAGCATGGTATGAGCGTATCACAAGCCTTGGAACTTGTGAAGAGCAAACGACCACTGGCAGCTCCTAATTCTGGTTTCATCCAACAATTGCAAGAGCTTGAAAGATCTCTTCAAGGTGCATCATAATATTTTTTATAAATAGATAAAGATATATGTGTATTTACACCTTGACATACAAGTCCCAACACACACACTAACATGGTTGGATATAGCATGCATCAATTGCCAAAATGAAGCTTTCTAGACGTAAACCTTCATGAAGTTGGGTGTCTCTACCCTATTGAAACATCTAGTTATGCAGCTTCTGCTCATGTTACTGTTGTTTATAAAGGTGAAAGATGATGCAAATTGTTTTGATTTAAAAGAATGCTGTTGCTTGCATTTGTTCTATACCATGTTGTTTAAACAACCTTTTTAGATGAGACCATGTCAGATGCTATCACCTGCAGTCCAGCAGAATGAACAACTAGCAAAGCACTTCAGCAGCCTTGTTGTGATTTTGACGCAACTGATCTTTTAGTAATGTGCTTTAAAGAATGTCTAGAAATGTTTTTGCTCTTGAGGAAAGGGGCAAAACTTGAATGTGGACCAATTTTTGTTTGGGACAGAGTTGTTTGTTTTCAACCTAACAAAATAGCTCTGCAATTATATCTTTTGATTTTTGTAGTTAGTTTCCAACCTAACAAAATAGCTCTGCAATTATCTTTTGATTTTTGTAGTTAGTTTCCAACTGGATTTGCTTACACTATAAACTTTCCATTTGTTGTTTTTCATTATCTCGTGGTTCATGCATTTTCATCTTTCCTGTTCAAATTTTGTATTAACCGAAACTTTTCCTTGTTCGACTTCCCCTTGTGATGCAGCCAACCAAGAACAGATGAAAGATAACGAATGAAGAAAAGCTTACCTGTGGAGAATCACTTGTTAGAAAAACAGTTGGCCTGAGATATTGATGATCAAATACATCCAATATGCTATAGATTTAAAAGGCCTGCAGTTGCAGGACACCATTTCTGCTGAAAGTCACAGTCCAACATTGGATGTATCAGCTCATATCAGGACTGGACCTGAAGAGGGTGCAAGGGAGAGTCTCCCTTGTATTTCTTTCTTTTTTAGTCAGTAGAAATTAAACAATAAAAAGGGAGCAATTTCATGGTCATGCTTGTTATGTTTACTTTACATGTTCTGCTAGTAGTGCCAAATTCAGGTCAAATTCCTTCCAGAGAATTATAAAATATCATACGTCTCTTATAAAGGAAAGCATAGATGCCACGAGTGATTTGAAAAACAACAGACTGGAGGAAGTCAACGTACATATGAAATTAAAATAAAAAAACACAGGAGTACAGCACTATGCACTGCTGCCTACACAATAACCATAATTTTAATTAGAAAAAATATATTTAAATGAGAAATATAAAAGTGATGTGAGGTAGTCCAACTATTGGACAAAGTGGAATCACTTCTTTTTGAATATGGGCAATTTTCAATTTAATTGGAAGAAGAATCAAAATCCCTTGAGAAATAATTCAGGAGACACGAACAAAACATCATCTATAAAGTTACTTCCAATTATTCAGATTCGTCTCTATTACAAGTAAGACTGACAATCCTTAAAAGCAAATTAATCATTCTTTTTGTGGATTTGTCTATCAATTCCCAAACCCATCAATGATCAATCACTTACCGATCTAAAGCATTATATTACTACATTAAACAAAGTACATGGTATGTGGTGAATCAGAGGCTCCATGCATGAACTGATAAGATAACTGACAGCAGCAAAAAGAAAAAAAAATCTGTCCCCTCAAGACCATTTATTTAAACGGTTAAACAAGCAAGCACGGTGTATGCTATCTTTCACTAGATTCATATAGCTTCTCTGGTGAGTACTCTTGTCTTGTCTTTCTTTCTTCCTTCTCATTCCATTGTGTTTTAATTCATAGAAACAAGTTAATATCTACCCAGACGGCCATTTTACCAGATTTATGTGAAATTTGGCATTCTGTTTCTGTTAGTTTTCTGCAAGGATATGGTTTTTTTTTTTTTTAACTCCATGCTACTGTTGTCCTAGTCACAAAACAAAGTTGATGGTTGCATTTCGAAAGACCTCTTAAAGGGACTGTTCTGGAATAAGATATTATGATTTTTGCAATTCAGGGTAAATACATAGTTTTGTTTGTGATAAGTGATGACTTTGGTTTACTATAGAACATCTGAAATGTTGGTTGATGATGGAGAGCACTGGAAAGCAGATGTCAAAATTATTGACCAAATTGGAATGCTTAATGATGTAACTTTTAACCTTTTTTCCAGTATTTGTGGGTAGATAATTTTGTTGTATAGATATGCTCTTGTTGCCTAAATTTTAGCTCTGTGAAACTGTGAACACAAGAATTTGGAAACCTAATTCTGATCCACCACTTGATGCTGTTAGGTAATATCATTTTTAACATTGGAAGTGGTATTTTCATACTGATTAATTAAACAATGAAAATGGTTTATATATATATATATATATTCTCCTATACGTTGTAATTAGACTCATGAAAGTCTAATGGTAAAATTTAACGGGATGGTCGGTAGCTGCTACAGGCTAGTTATACAGCATCATATGTGGTAGCTTAGAATTTTGGTTTTAGAGAATAATACATGTTTCTTACCAGTTTTGCACCTCCCTTTGAAGGGGAAAAGGAGTAAGCCAAAAGGAACTGGAAGAGCTTCTCCCTATTGGCTATGGATCACATTGATACTACCACCCAAAATGAAATACCAGAAACTTGGAGGGTAAATAGATATTTTGAAGCAAGTACTGCTCTATGCCAAATTGAAGAGGTACTCATTTTAATGATTTTCTTTTGCAGTATCATACTTTTGGATTTTTTTTAACATCTTATTGAACTTTTTTTTTTTACTTTTCCTTTTTGGGTCCTGAATTTTGTGCCTAATTTCATGTTTATATCTTTTAGGGTCTCTTCTTGGGTTCCTTGGGTGATGCGAGCAACAAGAGTGCACTAAAAAGTTCAAATGTTACACATATCTTAACCGTGGCTAACCTATCAGTCCCTTCATATCCAAATGATTTTGTTTATAAAATTATTGAAGGTATGAAAAAATCTTCCCTTGTTCACGTAAGAAGTTCTTGTTGACAAATCTGTGCATTATATTTTAATTTCATATATCTGTAGAACTAGGACTTGCATTGAACACCACCTCAGTACATGCTATTAACCATAGGATTATGCTTGATGGATATCCTTTTCAGCAAATCATTATTCCTTTTAGTATCTCCTTGGATCCCCTTATCCTTCCAATTGCCAGGCTACATAAATAGTAATAGGCTTTGTTCACCTTCTTAAATCCCGAATCCTGGATGAACAACTTAAGAGACATTAACAGCTAGCAGCAACTTTATAATCCTCTGCTCTCTGAGCATTTAGATTGTAGCATTTACATGCTTGCCATTACCGTGCAGATTTATGGAATTGAAAGGTTAAACTCATCATATTCTTGGTGTTTTTGATAAATTGAGGCAGTCATGGACAGAGAAGATACAAATCTAATGCAGCACTTTGACGAGTGTTTCAGTTTCATTGATGAAGCTAAAAGACTGGGTGGTGCTGTGCTGGTTCACTGCTTTATGGGAATATCTAGAAGGTGATTTTCCTTACTTATGTGTTGCGTCCTTGATCATGATCACAATTTTACCGAATTATTTCTTATATGGGAATTATTAGTAGTATTACATCATAAATAAGAATCAATACTCTTTACATTAGAATGTGGCAATCTCTATATAACGTTTCACTTATAACAGATTGTTAGAGCATCATTCCTTCAACTTGAATTCATGTTATTCTGCCACCTATCTTTGTTTGTCGCAAATAGGAATATGCTAGTAGTATCAGTGATCTCATTTGAATATTAAGAAAAAATTTGTTTACAGGCTAGGTGTAATTTGATACTACCTCAATGGTAGTACATAATTTGTTAGATGTGGTATTCAGTGACAATTTTTCAATTATGTTATCTGCTGTTTAGTTTTGCGGTTCCCAAATGATACTAGTTTTACTTGTTAGATTTATAGAGTTTTGCTTCTATTTGAGTTGCATCTTGTAGCTTAAAATGCATAATCACACTGTGAAATAACTTAAATTCTAGGAAAAGTATGATACAAAGATATTGATTTTGCTTTCAAATTATCTAAACTTGGAAGTAAACCAGATCATGTTAAAGCTTTTGTTTTCTTACGTCTTGCAGTGTGACAGTGGTTGTTGCTTATCTGATGAAGAAACGCGGTATGAGCTTTTCTCAAGCTCTGGAACATGTAAAGAGGAGACGACCTCAGGCATCTCCTAATTCTGGCTTCATTTTACAGCTGCAACACTTTGGAAAAACTCTTCAAGGTTGATCACTTTTGGCCACTTTCCTCAGCTCTAGAAGTTTCTTCTGTTGCTAAAGTGTATAATTTGTGATTTTGCTGTGTCCTTACAGAAAGATACTTAATGAATTTAAACAAACTTCAATTGAACTTTGTTTGACATGACTTTTTCTTGTAACGTAGGTAAGGAAGATGAAAAGTCCAGGTTTGATCTCTTTTTATCACTTTGTCAGTCCATTTTCTCCTTCTTCAACAAAAAGCAGTGAGAAGGCAATCAAGTGATGCATGCAGAAAGGCCAAGCATTGTGGGAAGTGGCATTTTGCTTTGTTGAATATATCGTGCTATGGCAAAATGCAATCCAAATGCACTAGCCACATAAACATGATGTTACTCCAAATGAATCGGAACAAATAAGATTTTGGGAAGGAGGGGGATGTCGGACCAAACCTAAGATCAATTGCTTTATCTATATATATATTGCTTTCCTTTTCTATTCAAGCAATGAGTTTAGAAAATTTCATCAACCAGATGCTGCTTCATCTCTCGCATTATCTGTAGATAAGTAGCCTGCAGTTCTCACTTGCCGTCTGCCTGTTGTTCAACAGGGTACTTTCTAGCAGATGGGTTCTCAATATAATTTAACAAGGGCTAACTGAATCACCGAATCAGTAGAAACTGCAATTTTCACATCTTTGTTATATCATCTATCGGTACAGACATTTTGGAACCAGAGTGACATATATTCCACTAGAATTATCTGTTATAGCCATTGCAAAACTGCAGGGTTATGCGGAGGTGTCTTAGCACTGAGTTTGGTAGGAACCAGACAGAAAAGTGAAAGAAGGGAAAATCCCCTGATTTAATGTTGGGCTACAACTCCTTTTCTATTTCTAAGTAAATGACTGGATGAGGCTTCTTCCCTAAAATTACCAAACATAAGTATAGGCTAGCAAGGAAGGAATATGCACGCCCACGTACACACACATAATGATATATCCCACATCAAAGAAATGAATGCTGTAGTATTAAAAAAGGCCTGTGAGTGGTCTGATAACAACCAACCTAGTCAGATACTTTTGCAACTTCTTGTGACAAGATTCAGGACAATAGTAACTAGGTTTTCATCTCAACTTATGAATGCTGAATTTTATATATTAAACTATGATGGTTTCCAGTTTTCAAGCCTGTGTCAAAATATCCGATCATTAAAACTGTATATTCTTTTTTGCTTTTAGCTTCATTTCACAAAGCCATAGGTAAGATCCCTTGCTAAGATGTTTTGCCAGTGAATGAAACTGGAATTAATATATTCGAATATATAATAGTGATATCTTATCTCGAATCTTGTTATTTAATAAAGTAGTACTCGAAATTTATAAATACCCAATTAAGTATTATCTTTTTAAAGATTCAGTAGGTTGATAGTTCTCTTGCTTGAGCAAAATTGAGAATGGATCGTTGGGTGAAAGAGAAACAAGCAAAAAGGCTAATAATGAAATGCTATATCCATAAGGCTAATTTAGATCACAACCTTAAAGTGTCAAAGGTTTCAGTAGGACCATGTAACAAAGACGATACTTCAAAGGCCAATCTCCCCCTGACGTCCTCTTCGTTAACAGCTCAAACTTCATCCCCCTGTCAAAAGAGGAGGGAAGCCTCCTCTTTCCACTCTCCATAACATTCTTGTCCTTCTGCAATCTCTCTCACCCTCTTTATGTTGGGTTTCTTTGTTCTCTACATAATGTTTCAGTCAACACCATTTCTCCCTTTTGATTCAAGAAAACAACTTGACAGCGCATAATTTTGCCTCAGCTATGGTATGACAATTTGACATGCCTAGAAACAGTGCTATGATATGAGAAACGTGGGAAAGTAGCCCCAAATCTAGCTAAGCAACATATCATAAGTCATTTTTTTCTGAATATAAATGACTAGACAGAGCAGTCCATAGAGCATAACACTAACTAACCAGCTCCGTACTTAGAGCAAACATTGATCGATGCTAATCAAAATAAAACCAACAGCTTTAATTTTATAGCACCAACAGAGGCATTGACTGATGCAAGTATCGGGATACTACTTTTTTGGGGGTACGCTGCCTGTGTTACTCCAGCAGTATGAGCAGGGTCATGCAATATAAGTCCTTGTGTTATTAAATAGTGTGGCAGGCAACTCTTTCTTGTTATTAAGCCTAGTGATCCAGTTAATTCATTTATAATTTTGAAAAAATTTTATAATAATCTTTTATTAAGGTAATGTTTATTAATTTTGAATCAATGTAATGCTCTTCAATTTACAAAAAAAAGAAAAAGAAATGATTCATGCAAAATTAAATTGACAAATCTAAACAATTTAATATAGAAATAACTTCTTACAAACAAAGAAGTCGAAATTGCCTCATATTAGAGGATATATGTCCGTCACCTACATCTACATTTGCTTGCTTAAGTTCATGTTGTGCTTGCTTGTGTTCCAAAGAGGGGAAAAGGTGATTTTAAGGTGAGATTTTACTTATTCTTATTTAGTGATTAAATAATATAAATTTTTTTTTATAATATTTGAGTTTGAATATGTCGTTATATATTGATTTTAATTTATGAATAGATTGTTGTTTATATCTTTGTAACCAGGTGTTTGATAATATTCTTTAAAGATAACAGTCATGTCTTCTTCAAACAATAATCATATATTAGATTATAAATTTCAATTTCAAAACAAATATTGTCGATCAAAATATCTTACTCTGAAAATAATTCAACAAAACTCTATTTTATTTGTCAAGAGAGAAAATATAAATTTTTTCGGTGATAGCATCGAAACATGATAGGTGGCAATGTGCATTATATTGGTAATGAAGATATTGACACAGGAAGAAATGCTTTTAGAATTAAAATTGTCTATTTGAAAAGATGAAAATTGACACTAGGCTACAAAGGGAGCACAGCAAAAAAACTGAGCATGTTGTGAACTTAGTGAAAATAATGGTTGCTATACTAGTTGCAGTCATGTTAGTTATTAGCTTAAGCAAATAGTGTTGTATGTATTTAGAGTTAAGCATGATTTGAATTAAGATGTTAATTACTGAGTGATTTTTTTTTTTGTGTGTCATTAATTTGGTCTAATGATCAGCTAAAACCTGCTTCTCTTAATATTTTCTACCTGTGACAAAATAAGTTAATCCAATCATTAAAGAAATTTACCTACAATTAAATTAGTTAATGTACTTTACCAAAAGAGATAATAACTTTCCTTACAAATGGAGCACTGCCCCTTTAATTAATCTTACAAAAACCTTGAGCTTGTGTTGCTAACCCTAGTTCTCACCATAATCAATTAGCACCCCTAAAAGCTCCATACAAGCATAAAGAGCTTAGACACACACCATCAACAACAATAGTTATGTATACACAAACTATCAATATAAATGTAAAGATTATATGATCATGGCTTTTCTCTCTCTCTCTCTCTCTCTCTCTCCTTTTTTTTTTTTTTTGCATATGACAATTTATTTATTCTTTTTGTGAATTATGCATGCATGGCATATATAGATACTATATATATAGCTAGCAATATGAAGAGAGGGGAAAGTGCATGAGAACTAGATAAGCAGTTAAAAGATCAGCAAAAGCCTCTCGCCTTTGTTTTAACTCACGCGAAGGCATGTAATTGTTCCAAGATAATAAACGTGAGCCGGACGTAATAATAATAATATCTAAGCAGAGGGTGGGGAAAAGGAAGAATAACCGAGAACCTCACGAGACTGCAACATACAGCATTTATTTCCCAACTAAGTCATCAACACATTCCCGGCTACATGTAATTCCCCCTGTTGTGGGCTTATAAATAGGGGAAAAAACACACATACACTACTTCATGGAATCACAGCTGAGGAAGAAACCTAGAAATAATCATTATTAACATGTCTCATATAACTGTGGAGAGAAATAGGAGAAGGCAAATGAATGAGCACCTCAAAGTTTTGCGTTCTTTAACCCCTTGTTTCTATATCAAAAGGGTATTTATTAGTCTGATGTCTCCCTCTCTTCTCCTTCTTGTTGGTTTCTTTCGATCTTTTTCTTCAGGTTTAACTTGTAATTAACTCGGTGGTTTTTGATTATGATGTTTTAGGGTGATCAAGCATCGATCATAGGCGGTGTGATAGAGTTTATCAAGGAGTTGCATCAAGTTTTACAAGCTTTGGAGTCAAAGAAACGAAGGAAGAGTTTAAGCCCTAGCCCTGGTCCAAGTCCAAAGCCGTTGCAGCAGGCTACCCAACCTGATCATATCCCCTTGGGATTCGAAAGTGTAGGAGAACTAGGGGCATGTTGCAACTCATCTCTTGCGGACGTTGAGGCAAGGATCTCAGGATCCAATGTGATCCTTAAAATCATTTCTAAGCGGATACCGGGTCAAATTCTGAATATAATAGCTGTGCTGGAGAAATTTTCATTTGAGATTCTTCACCTGAACATCAGCAGCATGGAGGACACTGTTTTATACTCCTTTGTCATAAAGGTACATGATCATGAATTTATCTGTTTCAACTCTCAGAAAGTAAGGCCAAAACCCCAACCCCAAATATTCTATGTTAATTAATCAGAAAAGGAAAACTTTGGACGACTTGTCTAGGCTGTTGGCCCAAACAATATTAAACAATTAATTTGGGAACTAATGTTTCAGAGTTCAGACTTTAATTTTCAATGACTGATATTTTGTAGAAAATAAGAGAACTTTCCAAGAAAACTACGTTGTGTTGTGCTTCTAACCAGGTTCATTTTAAGCAAATTTCGTTGGAAATACCTGAAGGCACGCTAGCTGCAGCATTTCAAGTGAAAAAGAAAAACATGGCTTGATCATTGCACTCAAGCAAGATGCAAGCATGGAACATATCAGAACTGGGGAACCGGACTAAATCACAGAAAAAACATTGCTTCTATTTTAAGTCGGATAGTTTTTCTTGGCTCAAAGCTGGCATTCTAATTAATTAAGTTAAATGTATATTAGTCGATGACATTGGATCATGCACTACTGGTTTAACACTTTTTTAATAATTTTCTTGTTAGGATGGGAAAGTTTTGAGATCATTTCTATGTAAATTCCAGAGTCTTACTTTTCACTGTCGTCTATCTTGTTTGCAGATTGGTCTAGAATGCCAGCTGAGCTTGGAGGAACTTGCTGTTGAAGTTCAACAAAGCTTCTTCTCAGAGCCAGTTTTTCTGAACGAGATATAGTTTTTCCATAGTTTAAATGTGTTCATGTTTTCGTGGTTGTTATATATATATATATATTTTCATTTCTTTGGCTTAAACCATAATTTTTTTTTTGAAAGTTAGAATAATTCATAAAAGGGAGCAACCGATGGTTAAACTCCAATCAAAAGTACAAACGCACTGCAATTTTACAACCTATGCGCAGTCCCAGTGAGGGCAGAACCCTCAAAATTACATAAATGGGCAAAACTAAAGTCACTAACATAAATGGTAATATCCTCAACTTAA